TAAATGTTGCACAGTCAGTCAATGGTAGTGGGGATACCATTATGTGTGATTAGTGATTATGCTATGGACTTTTGATGGTGGGGTGGTGTTACCCTTATTATTATTATCTCTCAACAATAACCCCACCCCACGTGTTGTTTGAAAAAGGTATTCTTTTGTTTATAAAAAGTATTTTTTATTGTTAGCAAGGAAAAGGACATAGCTAGTTTCTCCAGATTTTCTCTACAAGCAGTAATTTTTTTCATTATTTATTCAGTATTTTTATTAATTTTTTATTGACAAGACTATGTCTTGTTTATAAAATTGTACTGCCTGTTGTGCTACCAGCTTAGAGGTATGAAGGAGTACATGTCAAAAGTTGCAATTTAGCACAAAGTAATAGGTGCCCAAATCATGTGCGCATAAAAAGAAACCAGACTTGTAGGTACTCAGGGGACCGAGAACCGAGTCAAAATAAAATTCAAAATTGTGACACTCTCTACAAACAGGCAGTGCGAGATTTGTGCATGCGTTGCTTGTTGGGAAAATGCCACGGGGTATGCTAATGAAAAAAGGTTGGGAACCACTGATCTAGTTGAACCATTATTCTTGGACATAAAGCAAGTGTAAAGGTGCCAGCATTGAAATGTTTAGGTGGTATTGAAGGATCAATTGACAAGAACACAGGGGACCTGTGTACCTTCCAAGATAGTCATCAAAAACGTTAGCAAATTCGGAAAAAATTCCTTCCGTAGATTGTGTTTTGACTATGTGGATTCTGGACATATGGATACCTAGGGGTCAAAACCACTCCAGACTAAGAAGATTGACACAATCTCCTTCTGCCACTAACAATTATAATTGTCTTGCAAACCAACCATATCTAACATTGACATGGGCACTGGCCTTTTTTGGGCATTTCATTCTTTTGAAAATCTTGGGGTTGTATACTTACGAGTGTTAAGGTTGGCCCATTTGTTCAGCACCAAATCCTTTAGCTTTATTTCCTTTCCATCTTGTCTCTTGCAGGAACAAAATGTTCATTCTCTTTCTTTGCATAAGATCAATCAACTCTCTACTCTTCCCATTCAATGTTCCGATGTTTAAAGTACATATTCTAAAACTTGTCTTCCTCTTCTCTTTCTGGGCTAACTTCTTTATCCGAACCCATCCTTGGTTCAGTAGCCCCAGCTCATTTGACATAGTTTTTGGGCGACATGACTGTGCATCGCTTTGGGGGGATGTCCTAACACAGTTATAACTTACTTGTAGTCTAGCAGATATTCCATGTAGTTTTGGCAAAGGTTTTATGGCCAGATGCCCTTCCTGGTGCCAACCCTATTTGTTATATGGCTAAAAATTACAATTACACTTAAAGCCTTAACTTTTATTTACAATTTAATTAAACTTTCCACTAAAAGCTGGAATTTTTGTGAAAATTCAAAGTATTAAGTGAGTACTGGAAACAAATGAAAAGTATGTTTGTATAATTTACATTTAATCACTGTTACTTCAAAAATTTCCATTTTATTCAAATTGTGTTATACATTTGGTATCCAGAAAATCTTCTGCTTCTGTATTAGACAGACTTTCAGCCTATAATTGAATTTTATATAGTAAATAATTCAGTTCTGAGATTTATTTTCCATTTAGGAAGGTTTTTGTTTTGTAAAGAGTTTATTTTAGACTGGTCTTGCTGTAATGTAAAATTTGAATAGTTTACTACAATTTTAATATGATTATAAAATATACTAAAAATTTTTTCAAAAAATTTGGCATGTATTTGAAACAACTTTTAACATATTTGAAACAAGTCATGCTTATTACAAGACTATTAATCAGCCCCTGAAGTAACAAGTTCTATTCTTCAGCAAAAATAGAACTTAACTATGGAAATTCAGAAGTGAACTCAAAATCTCAAAAACCCTTACATAGAGCTCAGACATTTTGTCCTTTATAATAATGAGCAATTAGTGTAGTATGTACTCATTCAATATGATGCCATTGCAGAAGAGCACTATTGCTATCAAAAATTCTTCTTTCCCTGTTGTTGGAGAGAAAAATTGAAAGGTTTTTCCAAATGAAAACAGATTGCAAATCGTCCATAAACTAAACCTTAATTTATCTATAAAAAATTATCGAGATTCCAGTATTAGTAGTGTCCTCACTACTCCAAATGAACAGGAGGAAAAGGTCAAAAAGGATCCTAAGACATAAGAGTTCTTTATGCAAGAAGACCTATTAAATCTTTTTATAAGGTTTTTCTTGAAACAGGTTTCTCAGTGACTGATTACAGTTTTAAGGCAATGTTTCCCAAATTTTTATCACTAGGAACCAGCAGCTTTCAGTAATTTTTCTTGATGCTCATATGAAATATATAAATACATCATATATGTGCAAAAATTCTTATCACAATTAGTTTTTACCAAATTCATAATTGTTATGCAATATACATTTTTCAAATTCTACTCTGTAGCAACCAAAATTGATGTTCTGATGAATAAATTGCTATTACTTTTAACCTTTAATTAATTAATAAATAATACTGTAAGCTACAAAATTATTTAATTATTAGAATAATTTAGTATTTCAGGTTATAGCTGTAATTGAATTTCCATAATCTGTGATAATTGTTGATAGTAAGTAGAGTCAAACTCTAAATTAGGTTATTGCTTTTCAAAAAAAATATCAACAGGAACCAGTTATTTATTTATGGGCTCAAAGGCCCATTATCATCACCTCATTCAAATAGAGCTAGTTTTATTAAAAGTTAACAAAAAAATCTTACANAATTTTTCTTGATGCTCATATGAAATATATAAATACATCATATATGTGCAAAAATTCTTATCACAATTAGTTTTTACCAAATTCATAATTGTTATGCAATATACATTTTTCAAATTCTACTCTGTAGCAACCAAAATTGATGTTCTGATGAATAAATTGCTATTACTTTTAACCTTTAATTAATTAATAAATAATACTGTAAGCTACAAAATTATTTAATTATTAGAATAATTTAGTATTTCAGGTTATAGCTGTAATTGAATTTCCATAATCTGTGATAATTGTTGATAGTAAGTAGAGTCAAACTCTAAATTAGGTTATTGCTTTTCAAAAAAAATATCAACAGGAACCAGTTATTTATTTATGGGCTCAAAGGCCCATTATCATCACCTCATTCAAATAGAGCTAGTTTTATTAAAAGTTAACAAAAAAATCTTACAAATTTGTTTTTATCCTAATAATTACATAATTCAATGATATAGAAACAAAAAATTATAATTTATTCAAGGTACTTTTGCCTCTTTTACATTATTTATTATATTTACTGAGAAAACATTCATAGATTTTTCAATGCTTAGAATAATAGAAAATTCAAGTAAAACAAAAATTATTGTATTGTTTGTTGCAAATGATGATGGTTGAATGACAATGACATTGTTGCCTTAAGGTCAGATAAATCAAAACACGTGGTACTTATGAAAACAAAAATTATTTTAAAAAATTTGCTTTTTTTCAAACATTTGCCCAAATCATGTGCGCATAAAAAGAAACCAGACTTGTAGGTACTCAGGGGACCGAGAACCGAGTCAAAATAAAATTCAAAATTGTGACACTCTCTACAAACAGGCAGTGCGAGATTTGTGCATGCGTTGCTTGTTGGGAAAATGCCACGGGGTATGCTAATGAAAAAAGGTTGGGAACCACTGATCTAGTTGAACCATTATTCTTGGACATAAAGCAAGTGTAAAGGTGCCAGCATTGAAATNATTCATAATAAGTTACAAAACATATAAACAAGATAAGAAAGGGCACATTAGTCAAACTGTTCTCACAAAACTGAATAATTAGCAGACCTAGGTTTAAGGTGATTCACTTTATAGCACTTTGCTAATGCAATGCTTTTCAATAATATTCATGTTTAATATTTTCAGTTCTTACTTTCTCTTTACAAAACTTTTAAGTATTTTTTTTATTTACTATTTTTACTTTTTCATGTCTTTTTTAGGTTTGCATACTTAGTAAATGATATTGTAAATGTGTTTTTAGGCTGTTATATGCACTGGCAAATAACTCAAGGTGTAATTTGTTTTAAGGTAATATTCATTCTATGGCAGTGGTCCACAACCTAACCAGTAATATTACCCCCCCCTGCAATTGCCTGTGCCCGCAAATTGGAAAACACTGGGTTACAATATTCAGCCATTATTAAACATTAGAATAAATATGCATTAATGTATATTTATTCTAACATTTAAAGATGATTTTGAAAAAATTATATAATCCTGATTTATCACGTGGAGTACAGGCATACATCATTTTAAGAGCACTTCACTAATATGGCATCTTACTATTACATTCATGTTTATTATTTTTGGCACTTGCCTTGTCCTTAAGGGTATTTTACATGTTTTTTATTTTTCATTTTTACTTTTGCATTGTTTTTATAGGCCTAGCACTATTGCACACTAAGTGTGTAATATGTTTTTAAGTTTTGATATGCACTAGGTAAGTGGAAAGTAAGACTGTAATTTGTTTTAAGGTAATATTCATTCTATGGCAGTGGTCCACAACCTAACCAGTAATATTAGNGTTCAGAAATCAAAATAAAATTCACCAACCTTTCTATTACTAGAAAGATTCGACTTTGAAAAAAATCTACCTGAAGTAGATTTTAGAAGTAGACTGAAAACATTAGTATAAATTTTTCACTTACGTGCAAGATCTACTTAAGGTTGGTGGATTTTATTCATAAATGCTTTGTAATAAATGTACTATACAAGTTAATCATAATTAACGTTTATTTTTGTTTTTATCATCATATAATGTGTTATTTAATAAAGAATTTAATGCAAATTAATTATTTTATCTTACAGATTTAAAGTTAACAGTTATTTATATGTATGTGTGATATTAAAATGGAAACTGTCTTAATGTTTCTGCATCAAAGTTTAGCAGAGAGGTGAAGAGTACAGATTTTCTGTTTTATTCATTAATAAATTATGATTACTTACAAAAGGTTTCCCTTTTTGACTGTCAGAAATTGTCTTGTTGTGAGAAGGAACAATGGATGCTTGATTTGACAACATTCCAAACTGTCCAATTACAACTGTCTGGCTAGAAGTAGTAGAAGGAACAAAACCTGTCTGTCCCTGCAATACTGCAGTAGACTTGGCTGCAGTAATCATCGGTCCTGGCATACATGTCTTGCCTCCTGTAGCAATCACCTGACCAGTAGCTGTCACCAAGTTTGGGGAGGAAAGAGCCATTCCCTAAAAGGTTTCCCAGAATTCCATTACTTAACTATTACACAACTTAATCCTTTCTGCCCAATGTTAGGAGCCATAATAGTGACAAAAAAAAAATCTAAATTATATTTTTAAATCTAAAATTCTAATTAAAATCATCTTTTATTGTGAAAATAAAAATCTATCTATATTCTAAAGCTTTATAAATAAAAGATATTTTAAAATATTAAATATAATGTAATGTTGTTCAGTAATTTTTTTAAGATTCAGTAAAATATTTTTATAAATAATGATTAGTTGAACATTGTTTATATTTATTATCTATGATTATTCAGCATATTTTTTGATAAGCATGAATAATTAAAATTATAAAATATAAGCATAGATAATATGTATCAATGCAAATATTTGAATAACATATTTAGATTAGTATATTATAAATTGGAAAAAAGAAGTTAGAAATAATAATGTGCAAAAAGGTTGTGTCCCATCAAGCAAGAAAGGATTAAATGTGATGAATAAAATGAATGGTGAATGCAGATTGTGATATGCTTAAAGTATGAGAGAAAAGAAAAAATATATATTCTTTTTGTTAATTTTCTATAATTTTGTTAATTATTAGTTTTAGATACTCCCCTATGATTCTGACAGAACTTTCAAGTGAAAGAACAAGAAGCTGACATTATTTTATAATATATAAGCTCTCTCTGACAATATGTCAGAATTAACTTTTAATATTAGTTTGCAGTTAATGCTAAATTTTAAGAATGTCTTAACCAGTTAATGTTTATTGAAATATAAGTAGAATTAAGCTTAGAATAAGCAAAGCTATAATATATACATGCAAGAGCCAAGTATTAACTAAAATATTTTATATGGCATTTATTATAAATCAGTCTTGTACTGATTTTTATTAATTTTTAGATTATTAAATTTGAAACAAATTTAATTTCAAAATTTCAATAGAAAAACTGACAATTTTGTAACATTTGTATTTATAAAACTCTGATTTTAATTAAGTAATATAATTTGTTAATTAAATTTATCAATTTTATAAATTAATTATATTTAAAATTTTGAGCATTCACATACTTTTTAACAAATTTATTTATTAAATAAATAAAATTAGTTAAAATTATTCATGCCATAACAATGCAAAACCATAACATTAAACAATTCATATAAAGATGCAAGAAACAGCATTAGAAAATTAGAGAAGAATTGCAAGCAAAGTGCAAACAATTTAAATATCAAACATTTATATAATATTATTTTAAAATATATATTAATTATAAAATTTAATATAAAATACCTANTGCATTAATGTATATTTATTCTAACATTTAAAGATGATTTTGAAAAAATTATATAATCCTGATTTATCACGTGGAGTACAGGCATACATCATTTTAAGAGCACTTCACTAATATGGCATCTTACTATTACATTCATGTTTATTATTTTTGGCACTTGCCTTGTCCTTAAGGGTATTTTACATGTTTTTTATTTTTCATTTTTACTTTTGCATTGTTTTTATAGGCCTAGCACTATTGCACACTAAGTGTGTAATATGTTTTTAAGTTTTGATATGCACTAGGTAAGTGGAAAGTAAGACTGTAATTTGTTTTAAGGTAATATTCATTCTATGGCAGTGGTCCACAACCTAACCAGTAATATTACCCCCCCCTGCAATTGCCTGTGCCCGCAAATTGGAAAACACTGGGTTACAATATTCAGCCATTATTAAACATTAGAATAAATATGCATTAATGTATATTTATTCTAACATTTAAAGATGATTTTGAAAAAATTATATAATCCTGATTTATCACGTGGAGTACAGGCATACATCATTTTAAGAGCACTTCACTAATATGGCATCTTACTATTACATTCATGTTTATTATTTTTGGCACTTGCCTTGTCCTTAAGGGTATTTTACATGTTTTTTATTTTTCATTTTTACTTTTGCATTGTTTTTATAGGCCTAGCACTATTGCACACTAAGTGTGTAATATGTTTTTAAGTTTTGATATGCACTAGGTAAGTGGAAAGTAAGACTGTAATTTGTTTTAAGGTAATATTCATTCTATGGCAGTGGTCCACAACCTAACCAGTAATATTACCCCCCCCTGCAATTGCCTGTGCCCGCAAATTGGAAAACACTGGGTTACAATATTCAGCCATTATTAAACATTAGAATAAATATGCATTAATGTATATTTATTCTAACATTTAAAGATGATTTTGAAAAAATTATATAATCCTGATTTATCACGTGGAGTACAGGCATACATCATTTTAAGAGCACTTCACTAATATGGCATCTTACTATTACATTCATGTTTATTATTTTTGGCACTTGCCTTGTCCTTAAGGGTATTTTACATGTTTTTTATTTTTCATTTTTACTTTTGCATTGTTTTTATAGGCCTAGCACTATTGCACACTAAGTGTGTAATATGTTTTTAAGTTTTGATATGCACTAGGTAAGTGGAAAGTAAGACTGTAATTTGTTTTAAGGTAATATTCATTCTATGGCAGTGGTCCACAACCTAACCAGTAATATTACCCCCCCCTGCAATTGCCTGTGCCCGCAAATTGGAAAACACTGGGTTACAATATTCAGCCATTATTAAACATTAGAATAAATATGCATTAATGTATATTTATTCTAACATTTAAAGATGATTTTGAAAAAATTATATAATCCTGATTTATCACGTGGAGTACAGGCATACATCATTTTAAGAGCACTTCACTAATATGGCATCTTACTATTACATTCATGTTTATTATTTTTGGCACTTGCCTTGTCCTTAAGGGTATTTTACATGTTTTTTATTTTTCATTTTTACTTTTGCATTGTTTTTATAGGCCTAGCACTATTGCACACTAAGTGTGTAATATGTTTTTAAGTTTTGATATGCACTAGGTAAGTGGAAAGTAAGACTGTAATTTGTTTTAAGGTAATATTCATTCTATGGCAGTGGTCCACAACCTAACCAGTAATATTACCCCCCCCTGCAATTGCCTGTGCCCGCAAATTGGAAAACACTGGGTTACAATATTCAGCCATTATTAAACATTAGAATAAATATGCATTAATGTATATTTATTCTAACATTTAAAGATGATTTTGAAAAAATTATATAATCCTGATTTATCACGTGGAGTACAGGCATACATCATTTTAAGAGCACTTCACTAATATGGCATCTTACTATTACATTCATGTTTATTATTTTTGGCACTTGCCTTGTCCTTAAGGGTATTTTACATGTTTTTTATTTTTCATTTTTACTTTTGCATTGTTTTTATAGGCCTAGCACTATTGCACACTAAGTGTGTAATATGTTTTTAAGTTTTGATATGCACTAGGTAAGTGGAAAGTAAGACTGTAATTTGTTTTAAGGTAATATTCATTCTATGGCAGTGGTCCACAACCTAACCAGTAATATTACCCCCCCCTGCAATTGCCTGTGCCCGCAAATTGGAAAACACTGGGTTACAATATTCAGCCATTATTAAACATTAGAATAAATATGCATTAATGTATATTTATTCTAACATTTAAAGATGATTTTGAAAAAATTATATAATCCTGATTTATCACGTGGAGTACAGGCATACATCATTTTAAGAGCACTTCACTAATATGGCATCTTACTATTACATTCATGTTTATTATTTTTGGCACTTGCCTTGTCCTTAAGGGTATTTTACATGTTTTTTATTTTTCATTTTTACTTTTGCATTGTTTTTATAGGCCTAGCACTATTGCACACTAAGTGTGTAATATGTTTTTAAGTTTTGATATGCACTAGGTAAGTGGAAAGTAAGACTGTAATTTGTTTTAAGGTAATATTCATTCTATGGCAGTGGTCCACAACCTAACCAGTAATATTACCCCCCCCTGCAATTGCCTGTGCCCGCAAATTGGAAAACACTGGGTTACAATATTCAGCCATTATTAAACATTAGAATAAATATGCATTAATGTATATTTATTCTAACATTTAAAGATGATTTTGAAAAAATTATATAATCCTGATTTATCACGTGGAGTACAGGCATACATCATTTTAAGAGCACTTCACTAATATGGCATCTTACTATTACATTCATGTTTATTATTTTTGGCACTTGCCTTGTCCTTAAGGGTATTTTACATGTTTTTTATTTTTCATTTTTACTTTTGCATTGTTTTTATAGGCCTAGCACTATTGCACACTAAGTGTGTAATATGTTTTTAAGTTTTGATATGCACTAGGTAAGTGGAAAGTAAGACTGTAATTTGTTTTAAGGTAATATTCATTCTATGGCAGTGGTCCACAACCTAACCAGTAATATTACCCCCCCCTGCAATTGCCTGTGCCCGCAAATTGGAAAACACTGGGTTACAATATTCAGCCATTATTAAACATTAGAATAAATATGCATTAATGTATATTTATTCTAACATTTAAAGATGATTTTGAAAAAATTATATAATCCTGATTTATCACGTGGAGTACAGGCATACATCATTTTAAGAGCACTTCACTAATATGGCATCTTACTATTACATTCATGTTTATTATTTTTGGCACTTGCCTTGTCCTTAAGGGTATTTTACATGTTTTTTATTTTTCATTTTTACTTTTGCATTGTTTTTATAGGCCTAGCACTATTGCACACTAAGTGTGTAATATGTTTTTAAGTTTTGATATGCACTAGGTAAGTGGAAAGTAAGACTGTAATTTGTTTTAAGGTAATATTCATTCTATGGCAGTGGTCCACAACCTAACCAGTAATATTACCCCCCCCTGCAATTGCCTGTGCCCGCAAATTGGAAAACACTGGGTTACAATATTCAGCCATTATTAAACATTAGAATAAATATGCATTAATGTATATTTATTCTAACATTTAAAGATGATTTTGAAAAAATTATATAATCCTGATTTATCACGTGGAGTACAGGCATACATCATTTTAAGAGCACTTCACTAATATGGCATCTTACTATTACATTCATGTTTATTATTTTTGGCACTTGCCTTGTCCTTAAGGGTATTTTACATGTTTTTTATTTTTCATTTTTACTTTTGCATTGTTTTTATAGGCCTAGCACTATTGCACACTAAGTGTGTAATATGTTTTTAAGTTTTGATATGCACTAGG